TCTTTTGGAGAGACATTTGTGTTATTGTTGTATTGATTTGTACTAAATCATTGATTATATTTTTCTAAATTTTTTTATATATTTTTAATATATAAAATTATTTTTATAATATAAATGAGTATTATAATTATTTTTATTAGCTTAAGTTATGTATTTATATGTTTTAAATCTGAATAAACATTATATATTTTTATTTTTTATTTTTCAAAATTATAATTTACTATTAAATTTAGTTAGCTAACTAATTCTAAATGTATATATAGGAATAAAATATATAAGAATAAAGCAATACATTTTTTGTACCTTCATGCTAATGATAAATGTAATCTATTTTCTTCAATAAATTATCACACGATCCTCCTTTGTAATTATATAAAGAAAAATGTCATTTAAAAAAAAGATTTATTAATTAATATGATTGTTTTGAATTATAAAATTTATTTATTTATCAAATAAACATATGTTTCTAAAACTACCAAACTATAATCAATAACATTCATATCAAAATCATTGCTATTACTTTAGATTATGTTTGAACTCTTAAAATATCGTTTTAGTTAAAGTTAAATAATTAAATTTTGGTTACTATAAACATACTTTAACTTGGAAATTTAGTACAGAGAAAATTCATCTTCTTACAAAAATCGAAAAATAGCGTTTCCCGTCAAAACAAAAAAACTTTATTTTCCCATTAAACTGAGAAATCGGCTATTCCCGCCAAAACCAAAAAATTCATTTTCTCGTCAAACCTAAAACCCAAAATTTCATTTTCCCGCGAGAACCTGTGTTTTTCCACCAAAGCCGAGAAATTACGTTTTTCACAAACACCAAAAAATTTCATCTTCCTGAAAAAACCAAAAACAAAGTTGTATTTTCCCGCCAAAATTGAAAAATTTATTTTTCTTGAGAAATTGTCTATTCCTACCAATATAAAAAATCATTTTCTTGTCAATCCCAAAATCACGCTTTTCTACAAAAAACTATAATTCTTGCAAAAACCAAAAAAGTATTATCTCCCGTGAAATTGTGTTTTCCTGCGAAAACTAAGAAATTATTATGTTTTTATTGTTTCAAATTTTTGCTGATTTGTGAGCTTCTTATAACATAAGACTTTTTGCGTTGTTGTCATGGAAGCATAGTTGATGTTGAGCGTACACTTTTTCAATCATATACGTCTATGTCAAACAAACAGATAGCTAGTATTTTTTTATTATTTATTTATTGTTATTTATTTTTGGATTTGGATTTAGCAAAAAGTAAAATTATGATTTTTTTATTTGCTGTTATTAATTATTTCGGCTTGGGTTTGGTAAAAAATAAAATAAAAATTAATAGAAAAAAATATTTGGGTTTTTAATGGGTTTAAGTTTAAAAGTTAAAATAAGTAGATGAGATGTATTAATAAGATGTTTTGATTGGTGATTATTTTTGCTGAAGTGTCATGTTTATAAACTTTATAAAAAGTAATGTGTCAAGCCATAGAGAGACTTTAGTGTTATTGTTGTGTTGATTAAATTGACATTTTTTCATTGGCCTTATAATTGTTTAGCTTGGGAAGATTATCATGTTAAGCAGAAATACCGATAGTGGGGGCGTGTGATTAGTGTATATATGTAGCTAAAAAAATATAACATGTACATGTAGTATTTAATTTCCACTGTCTTCTCTTTAACTTTATGTCAAAATATATAATTATTGTTGGTTTAACGGTTGGCCAAAAACAATGAAAAAGTCAACATACAAGTTTTTTTGTTTGTTTTAAGTGTCAAATTGTGTCACTCTTTTAACTTTGCACGCTTTTTTGAACTACATTGCTTCTACACAAAAAAAAATTCATGACTAGGAAGATGGAGACATTGAAAGTTAACTTCGAACAATAGCCAGACGAACTAGGAATGAAATACATTTTTAATTATAAAATAAGGTTTGAAGAAGAAAAAAAATGGTTCATGCCGGCGATGCCTCTTCCCGGTGGAGTGAGTGATGTTGGTAAGTAATATACTTTTTTTTGTTTGGTAAAAGGTAAGTAATATACTTCTCATGAAGCTGTCGACATTGCTTCGGAAAGTGTTTATATTGGAATGAAGTTTACTAATTATGGTGTGGATTTAGGGTTCAAAACCTTTATAAGATGGTTATAAGCCACATGTCGACATGTCGTGGATCTGAAATCTTAAAAATTCACGTATCTATGTTTCATATTAAATTTTACCTCGTCTAAGTTCCACTTTTTTGTGTGTGTGTGTATACAGTCTAAGTGTAACTTCTATATGTTCAAGTTACGCGTTGTCTATTTTTTAGATTGTTAAATATGAGGTGTTTAATTAACGTAAATCATTATTTACAAAAGTACTACACAATGGTATAATGTTTTGGGGGTTCGAATAAACAATTTCAAAGTAAATGAGTAGCTACCTACCGATGCATTTTTTTTCCAATTAGAGAAAAATCAGAGATTCGGGATTGGAGAGGTAGAGATCTATTGAAACCGACACATTCGGTCAATAATTTTTCATATTGTTACTATAATTTGATGAAATACTAAAATACATAAAATCAAGCTTTTTGGTCTTGTCACTGCATGTGATATCATGAAATATTGACAAAATCTTTAAATTTATTTCATTCTTCAAAAAAAAATATTAATTTAATTCATTAGTAACCTTTATTATTCCATGACCAATAAGAATGATGGAAAACGGCAAAAGCTATATAAGTGGTTATTGAAAAGAGTCGACTGTTGTAGTTTGTCGGAAAGACACTCCACCAAATAAATACAAATCTTATCACTAGTGGAAACTGTCGAGTGTGGAGTCTCTTTTTGCTTCTAATAAAACAATATTATCTTTCTAAAATTCTTCCAAAATATTTTTGGAGTTTTCTATTGCCAATTTAAAGTGCACTGTAACTGTGATCTGCTCCAGTGAAAATCAAAAACAAATTTCTATCCAAAAACGATATCTGTAAACCAACATAGCCATTCGCCAAAACAAGAAGAAGAAAAAACATTTTAAGAAGAAGATTAATTTTCTAATTATATGGTTTGATAAAAAGACAATGTTCGCCATAATTCCACGTTCTTGATTTGATTTCGAAAGCTGTGGGCGTTTTCTTATTTTTTTGTTTGATTTTAGTTTCTTTTAATATTTCTCAATCTTTTTTGTCTTTTTCTACGAATTTAGCGTGCACTGTGTTGTATCTTTCAACTTTTGTTTTTTTGACTAGTGATGACGAGACAGATTTGCCCCCATTATATATTTGTGTTTTATTTTAAGGTAGTTTTTCTTTATAATTTGTGAAATTAAATAAAAACAGTAAAAGATGAATTTTCGAAGCTTGATAAAAAAAAAAGTATGGTACCATGGGAAATTTTGTGAAATGACAATGCGAAAATTTCATTTAGATAAATGACAAAACGAAAATTTTATATAGTTAAACGACAAATTGCTAGGCTGTATTGTATGTATATGTTTAAAAATATTTTATATGTATAGATGGATTATAGCAATATAATTCACACGTAAGTAATTAAATATGTAAAACCACCTAAAATAATAATATCGCATATCTACCTGACAATTTAGATTTTGCAGCAAAACAAAACATATTAACGAGTGAACAACAATATCCTTTTTTTTTGTGCAACAAACAATAATATCCTTTAAATGCCTGTTTTGTTTTTAAAAAAAAAACATCTTGTCATCTTATGGCATATCAACATACTATTGCATACAAATTCTTGTAGAGCACTAATATGCAACTATGCAAGTATTGTCTATTATTTTTTCTAAAGTTCTGATATTAGAGTTGTTTCCAAGAATTCCTCCGTTGTCATTTTACCCTTCTCCATGATATGAAAGAGCACTAGTATTGGTGATCTCATGAATTGAAGCTCTTAAAAACTTTTTTGTTATTAATTTTTTTTTTTGATTTTCACAAAAAAAAGTAAAAGTGACGAATCGTATTTTGCCACGTGGTGAAAGAGGATTCTACAGAGCTTGCACAGATAGTCGATTTTGTGGCAAAATCTTACTATATCATTTTTTTATTTTTTATTTTATTTTTTTTCTTTAAAACCTTATAAAGATTCACCAATACTGCTGCTCTTAAGCCTTCGTGAAGCTAAATTTTAAGAGTTTTGACCCAACAGAAAAAAACTAGATTTTAAGAGTTTGATTTTGCTTTCTTTTAATATTCCCTCCTATGCATATTGGGGGGCCCATGTGGAAAGGTGTGAGAATATACACAAAAGAAATAGAAACAATGATTACATGCACAAGCACGAGGCCACAAATTTCCTTATCCTATAGTTGTATTATATACACATTTCTATAAAGATGAAACCTTCCAAAGAGAGAACCCCTGCTCTTTTAGGTCTATAAAAACAACCAAAATAAACTTAGACAAAAGAAAAACTATTTAGCATAAAATTCATGTTAAGTTTTATAAATTTTTTAGGTTTGGGATTCTTAAATCTTAAAGCATTACAAGTTTGGTCAATTTCATTTTAAAAAAACATTATTTTGTCGGCATCATTTAAAATTTTTCTTATATTTATTAAATATAACTAGTTCAAAACAGTTGAAAGTTGAGGGCCAATTTATTATTTACAACTTGTAACTAGTGTCATCAGTGGCGGAGGCAGCCTTAAATTTCACTAGGGTCAATCAGATATATTCAGAATATTACAGGAGCCAATTAGCAAATTTTATAAAATTTTATTTCAAAATACAAGTAAAATTTTTTTTTTTACAGAAATTCACTTGGGTCAATTGACCCCCCTCCCAAAGTGTTGGCTCCGCCACTGAGCGTCACGTCCTGGGTATAAGGACCGTATTCTACTATATAGAATGATAAAAAAAAAATTAAGTAAAATATTATTCAGACCAATGAGGTTAGATAAGGAGGAAAAGACAAAAAAAAAAATACTACTACTAAAAACAAATAGCATTTGGCGCCAAAAACTAAAAGTGGTCGTGTCACGTGATGTAAATTTTGCTCTAGGACTCTAAAGTATTTTCCAAATCTCAGGGTCCCACTCTCAGATGTGCTGACTTTTTTTTTTCCTCTTGTCTTAATTCTTTGCATTTTAAATTTAATTTAATTTTTCTCATTCTATATATAAATCCCCGCAGATTCATCACTCTTCACCTAGACTCTACACAGTTTCTCGCTTATTGACGATTAAATCTCAATCCAACGGTTGAGATTCTTTTCTGTTAAAGTAACGGTTAAGATTCCATCTCATACATACTTCACATAATTCAAAGGACACGTGGCGAGGCGAGGGATGAAAGAAAGTAGCCGGAAGCAAGGAGCGGCGTCACCGTGTGCGGCGTGCAAGCTTTTACGGCGGCGGTGCGCTCAGGATTGTGTTTTTTCGCCGTATTTTCCGGCGGATGAGCCTCAGAAATTCGCTAATGTTCATAGAGTCTTCGGAGCTAGCAACGTCAACAAGATGCTTCAGGTAATTTTATGGTTCCACTTTAAAAGTAAAAAATCAAAACGTGCTTAATAATATTTTGGGTTGGTTAAGATATTTTTTCTTGTTTCTGGTATGTTCTTAATTTTAAATTTAGATAAGACACTCCTATCATTTCCATAACTTTTATTGGAAAACTACTACATGGTCCAGCCCATATATATTATAATAAACTAAATTTAAGAATTTGAAAACTAAAATTTATAAATTTGCATTATTTCTTTTGAATTTTGAAAAACTGTAATGTTTGAGAATTTGAAAAGTATGTTAATGACATATACATTTATTAGCTCATCTAGAATCCAACCACTTTCGCTTTTGTTAATAATGACATGACCTACATTTGTTAATTAACTAATGTAGAGTTAGTCTACATGTTTAACTCTTGCGAGATTGGTTAGTCTATAATGGCTTTTGAAAACTCGACAGGAGTTACCAATCCACCAGCGTGGAGACGCGGTCAGTAGCTTGGTCTATGAAGCTAATGCAAGAGTGAGGGATCCGGTTTACGGTTGCGTAGGGGCAATTTCGTCTCTTCAGCAACAAATCGATGTGTTACAAGCCCAACTAGCTCTGGCTCAAGCAGAAGTGGTGCACCTGCGTGTGCGCCATTCGACTAATTTCCCGAGCCATGGATTGTGCCCGGATAGTCCGGGTAGCAGCGGGTCACCATCGTCGAAGCAAGTGAGTCCACAAGACAACAAGGACATGTTTAGCCATATGGACATGGTGGATGAAGTGAGTTTGGGAGAGTCTATGTGGTCTTGTTAGTGAATGTTATCTTTTTGTTTTTCTCAATGCGTCTACTCCTCTTTTTCTTTTTTTTTTCTTAAGAAAATTTCGGGATTATATAATTAAATCAGGGGTAGGAAATGAAAATACTCTGTTTTGACCACAGAGTGAAACTATTAACATGATATATACACATATATATATATTATACTAAGGATATTTTTATATTTTATAAACCTATTTATATAAGTGATTTTGTTTTTATGTATTTCGGGGTATTTGGGTTTTGGTGTACGTGTAGGACTTTGGACCAGGATCCACGAGGGTCATTTCCAGAGGAAGATCAGAGAACTTTGTTATTGACCTAATGTAAACTTGTGAAATATAAAATTATCCTGTAAGACTTCATCTTTGAGAGCATTATTGATTGGTGAAATGTTGGGTTTGGTACTGTTGGCTAAGTCCAGCTTAGCAGTTAGCACTATTTTCGTAATTAAAACGACGAAAATCAGCTAATTACATAAACCATTGCCTTCTAGCATTTCGGGTATCCAATTTTCCACTCGTAGAGACAAATTAGCAAGTGTTATCTATATATATAAAAAAATCACGTAGAAATATTCAGTTTTTGCCAGTTTGAAATATGATTCATTTTTTCTTACAAGGTTTGTTAAAGTTAGGGAATAAATTCGGCGTTTATTAGTACCGGATATTTGCTATTTAAGTTATTTGTTTCTCATTTCTTTCCTAAGCTTTTTTTATATGCAAAGTCTGTTCTATATGATTAGGGGAGTTATACAATAAGTATTATTGTTGTCTAACTCAAGAAATCTCGCGCACAGTCGGTTAAGGTTTCAAAAACAGCAGAAGAAAACTTAATGAAAGAATTTTACCAGATACAACATCAGGCTCTGACTTTTAGATAACTACGTTAAACTACAGTTTCATTACCTCGAATTCTTCATGACCTGTAATATCAAACAACAGCAATGGAATAAACCACACTGAAGTTGAAAATAGACAAAAAGATGAATCTATCTGCAAGCAAGAGACATTACAAAAGCAATACTTGACACTTTACAAAAAAACAAAACACAATCAAAAAGAACTGATGATAAATCACTGTTGCAAAATTTATGCTTAGACTAACAGCATCAAGAACATAGTAATTCTGCTCGGATAAATAGAAGAGACCACAAAGCGTGTTGTGAAGCAAACCAGGTACATGTGAAGGAATATATGGATATAATGGTTAAAGTGTTATAAAAAACATTGCTCTGCTCCCAAGTAAAGTCTTACACAATTAGGACATGAAAACCAGAGATGAAAAAAATAGCTAAGCCAAGAAGGAGACAATGCTCACTCCAAACCTGTAAATGACAAGTCACACTCTTGTACATGAGTTTGGCTTAACCCTCCAGCAACAAATCATTCATCATCGAGGTTGTCAGCTGTTTGTACTTCAAAGATGAAGCAGAGTTACAGATTTGTTTGTGGTTTTGGTAGTTTTGGCCTTTCCCTAATGATATTTAGGCATTGGCTTGACATGAGGTACTTTGCATCATTAACATGAAGATCCTCTACGTAGTCCAACAAAGGCAGAAACTCCATGACGATTCTCATGAAAGTATTCTCCAAAACCCCTTTGTTGGAAGGTGTTCCTTTCCGGGTTGAAATAGAAAACATAAAACGGTTTAGATATTAAATATCTTGTCCATCGACAAAACAATTTCACCCGTAGGGATCAACGAGTTCATTATCCGGCAGAGTGTAGACATGTTCGCACCATTTCTGTTTCTCGACAGATGCATAATTGACAGAACTTCAGATGATTTTCCATCATTAGATATGAGAGAAGCTGCAAACTGAAAAAAAAAGTAGTTTCAGGACTAGGGATCGCCAAGCCGCCCATCGGATGATTAAATGCGATCCGATCTCTTACCGGGATTTACTGAGAAGAGTTTTGAAAGAAAGGCTGGTTCAAGTAAGAGACAAGCACAATGTATCTCTGCCTCTTCTATGGTTTCTCCCTTTGACGTACACTGCAAGAAACCCCTCTGGTGCTGAAGTTTCTTTCCATGTTACTGCTACAGAGCCACCAGGAAATATCTTATGAAAGCAAATATATGTTTTCTGAAACTAAGTGTTGAATTTTAATCTGAGCTTTTCGTACACCGTCGCTAAACAAAGTGTTTCCTTTATCTTTGGGAGTCTAAATCAAACAAACTAATAGATTAATTGAATGATTGCTTTTTTTGTTGTGGTAAATTTTGTTCGCAGGCAATAATTGAAAATACGCATTTACATTTGTGAAAACAAAGTCAGAGAGAACAAGAATAATATAGAGGACTACAAAGAACTTTTGATTAAAAAAAAAAACATTAGTTTGCTCTCAAGTAAAGTCTAACACAGTTAAGACATGAACATGCAAACCAAAGAATAACAAAAATAGCTAACCCAACAGAGTGGTAATGCTCACGTACATTCAAAGCCAAAACTAGGTATACTCTTGTACATGAAATTGACTTGGCTTCCAACAACAAACTAACACCTTGTCCTCACTCTAAGTTGTCGGCTATTTGTTCTTGGACGATGGAGCAGATTTGCAGTTTTTAGTGTGGTTTTGGTAGTTTTGGCCTTTTCCTACTGATATTTAGGCATTGACTTGATAGGTACTTTGCATCGTTCACATGAAGATCCTCTACATAGTCCACAAAGGCAGAAACTCCATGACGATTCTCATGATAGTATTTACCAAAATCCTTGATTTCAACACGTTGGAAGGTGTTCCTTTCGGGGTTGAAGTACAAAACATAAAACGGTTTAGATTTAGATGTATAGTGCATGGCGAAAGCTAACTCACCCGCAGCTGTCACCCCAGCGAATGAAAACTCGTACATTTTAAAGTGTTCATTATCCGGCAGAATATAGACATATTTCGACCATTCCTGTTTCTCGACATCCTCTAGAACCCACAGAGACAACTCAAGGGTTTTGCCATCGCCTCCATAACTCGGATACAACGCACCTAATTTACCCTTATAGTTTACCAATTCATGAATAGAATCATCATTATAATAACCTCCTGCATCAATAATCTTGAAACTTTCAGACCTAACATCAAAGCAAACTATAAAAAGCGCTATATCATCAAATTTCTCAGCTAAGTAATACAAAACCCCATTGATGCATATCGCTTCATTTTTGGGCGAAATCTCATGGTCTAAGGGACATTGGATCTTTCTCCAACTCATTGTTCCAGTTTCCAACGTCAGAATTCTATGATGATCCCTTTTTTCACGATATGGACGAACAATGGACAATACCTTGAACTGCTTGTGAAACGGATCAAACCCTAGAAAGATTTGTAAATATTCTATGGGCTCTTTCAGTTCAGGTAAGCTCACATACTGTCTGGTTGTAGGGTTATATATCACAGGCATTTTATCCTTATCCTTCATATTTAAGCTAGAGAAATATATCAAACCAGATGTAAGGCCACCAAAGTCTCCAGTGCCTTTAGAGATCTTCATATGAAAACCGACCGTAACCTTCCCATCATATGGATTCTGATCCTGAGGCGACGAGAAGAAGCTCCACTCACCGCCTCGATCCAGGGCGAATAAAAGACGCGGACGAGCCCGTGACTTTGTCAAGAACAACTCGGTGAAATATGGAGAGCGAAGCATGGTGCCCCATAGCTTCGACACGCAACGAAACCTCGCGACTGACTTTCCAACACTATGGAAAAGTGTTTCTTTTTGGAAATAGACAAAAAGATTCAATTTTTGATTTGTATTGATGAATCTATACATGTGGTTCGAATTAGTATTCTGCTTCACGTGAAGATCCAAGTCATCAATAGGAACATCAAAACCAATATGGAATGGTCCCTGCAGCTTGAGGAGTCATCAGTAGAAAACTGTTAAAAATCTCGAGCACAAAACCATTGTGAGACTTTATTTAGTACAGTAAAATCAGACTAAACCAAAAAACAAAAACAACAAATCAAAAAGTCAAAGCCTAATAATAGCTAGTGATTTCTCAGTGAGAGCAGAAAAGAATAATATAGAGGTCTATAAAGAACTTTTGATAAAACAGCTAGCTTCTATGTTATAAATATTATGAATTAAGAAAACTTTAGCCAACACGAATGAAAATGAATGTACAACTTGTATTAGATAGAGCATTTAGATGACTTGGGAAGCAACCAGGCTTTGGCGCTTGTAAAATCACCATCATCTAAAAGACACAAAGCATCAAATTTGTTAATTATCTCAAAACGATCTGGTTGCATGTGAGCTCTACGTGATATGTTGATGTGCTCGTGGGGGTTTACGCTTCTATTCTGGTGAGATTGTCTTCATAATAGTAAACTTAGATCTTGTACATGGTCCAATGGCGTAAACACTACGATTGCTAAACTCGTCTTCTCCAAAACCCTGGACTCCAACGCTATGGAAAGTGTTTCTTTCGGCATTGAAGTAAAAGACATAACACGGTTTAGATCTTATATACCTCATCGACAAAACAATTTTACCCGTAGCTGTCACTGAAGGAATATATTATCATTCAAACTTTCAAAGTCTAGACGTAACTCGACCATTCCTGTTTCTCAACATCCTTTAGAACCGACATACGCAACTCAAGGGTATTGCCATCGCCATCATACTTCCAATCAATTTAGTACCAGAACCATCATAATAGCATCAATAAACTTGAAACCTAATATCAAAGCAAACTATCAAAGGCGTTTCATCCATTGTTTCATCAATTCTTGTAGCTAAGTAATACAACCCCATTGATGCATATATATCCCATTTTCGGATCATGATGGGTTAAGGGACGTTGGATATTCCTCCAACTCAATTTTCCTGTCTCTTACTTGAATCAGCCTTTCTTTCAAAACCTGGGAAGAGCTTTAATCACCCGCTGGGTGGCTTGACGATCCCTAGTCCTGAAGATACTTTTTCCACATTGCAGCTTCTCTCATATCAAATGATGAGACAAGTATTTAGGAGTGGACACAAAAATTATAACCGAAAAAACCAAACCATACCGAACCAAAAAAAGTGATGGTTTGGTTATGGTGAAACCTAAAAATCCATTTGGCCATTATTTTTTTATAGCTTTGGTTTAGGTTTGATTTGGTTAAAAACCGTCAAACCAAAAAGTTTTTTCAGTTTTTAAACTAAATTTTAAATAATTTATATTTTCCTAGTTTCTTAATTTAGTTTAGGTATATATTTTATTATTTGGCTTAGTTATCTTTATAATTTACTATATATTTTATTATTTGGCTTAGTTATCTTTATAATTTACTAACTTATCTCATAAATTTAAAATATAATATTTATAAAAAATATTTACATATAAATAATAAAGTAAACCTTAATTTTTCAATAAAAAAAAACGTGATTAACTTTTTTTTCTTCACATTCAAGTCTTCTAGTTCTAGTTCCAAGGTTATATGTATTAAA